ACCGAGTGCAAGGGTGTCGGTACTTCAGTAAGATAGATCTGAAGTCCAGGTACCATTAGATTGCAATCCGGCCTGTGGATCGACACAAAACCGCATTTCAGACTAGGTACGGTCTGTACGAGTTTGTGGTGATGCCTTCCGGCCTTTGCAATGCTCCTGACACCTTTCAGCACGCGATGAACCGGGTATTTCATGACTACTTGGACAAGTTTGTCATCGTGTACCTCGATGACATACTTATCTTTAGTAGGACTGTCGAGGAGCCTGTAGCGCACTTAGATAAAGTCCTTAGCCTCCTCAGACAACACCAGTTCAAGATTAACCGGGAGAAGTGTGAGTTTGGACGCACCCGAATCTTGTACCTGGGACATGAGATTTCGGCGGAGGGATTGAAGCCCGATGACGCGAAGGTGGCCAGCATTCGTGATTGGCCGCGTCCTCAGTCTGTAACTGAGATGAGGTCCTTCTTAGGGATGACAGGCTACTACCGCAACTTTGTTCAGAATTATACTTTGTTCAAAATTATAGCATAGTGGCCGCCCCTTTGACGGACCTGACAAGCCTTGACACCCCATGGGAGTGGACGGACAGGTGTGAGGCTGCTTTCAGACATCTGAAGCATGTGTTGACACACCATGAGGTCTTGAAACTTCCTGATCCTAACAAACCTTTCGTTGTGACTACAGATGCCAGCCAATATGGCATTGGTGCCGTACTTGCGCAGCAGGAGGGGAAGAAGTTGAGGCCGGTAGAGTACATGTCCAAAAAGATGCCCTCTCAAAAGTTGGCTAAGTCAACCCATGAGAAGGAGCTCTATGTGATCTACAAAGCGCTAACCCATTGGAGGCACTACCTCCTAGGTCGCTTTTTCTATGTCAGGACTGATCATCAGACCCTGAGATGGATGAAGACTCAACCGGTACTCTCCGACGCTCTAAAGTGTTGGATCGAAGTCATTGAGCAGTATGACTTCGGACCCCGGTACATTAAGGGGGAGTACAACAAGGTTGCTGATGCGCTGTCGCGTAGGCCAGACTTTCTCAGTGCGCTGGTCACTGAATTTGGGCTTGCGGACAATGTCACTCAATCGTTCGTGGAAGCCTATCACGAGGATCCATTTATGGCCGAAATCATACGTAGATTCGAGGCGAAAGACAAAGCAACTGCCGACGAGTTTGTGTTGGTCAACGGCCTGCTGTTCCTTGAGAAGGTCGGGAATAAGTGTTTGTATGTTCCTAATACAGAGTCTTTGCGTAGTCTATTTTTATGTGAGTGTCATGATGCCACCGGATATTTTGGGTATAGGAAGACTGCAGCAAATCTGTTGCAGCGTTTCTGGTGGCCCACAATGATGAGAGATGCGAAGCTGTATGTGGAGACTTGTCAGGTGTGTCAGAGAGACAAGTCACATACACAGGCCCCTCTTGGGCTTCTTAAGCCCCTTCCGATTCCGGAAAGGCCCGGTGAGAGCCTGTCTATGGATTTCATGGACACGCTGGTCACCAGCAAGAGCGGAATGAGATATGTCTATGTCATTGTGGATAGGTTTAGCAAGCA